GGGCGTGGGACACATGCTGATTTACAAGGCAATCGTCTAGTTTTCTTACTGGAGTAAATGAGGGAGACCAAGGCCTCTTGGTTATCCGCCCACCGCGTGGATTATGGCCCTATAAATCAGCACATCTGTCCTGCGAAGGCCTAAATAATAGGCTGGAGGGCCGGGGATTTAGCTCAGTGGTTTCGCTGCCTGCTGCGCAACCGCAAGGACCCGAGTTCGATCCCTGGTCCCCCCCCCCAAAAAAAAGGCTGGAGAGACAGAATTAGCATAGATGCAAACGGAATCAAAACAACGCCTTTGGGTCTATGCTTGGTGCCCGAAAGTGCTTTGCCTTCCACAAGCACATTGAAGATGAGAAGTACTTTCTGTGGCTGATTCAGGACAGGGAGATCATTGCTTTATTCTGTTTTGCTTGATTTCCTTCATTAAGGTAGAAAACAAAAATTTTTTTGGTTCTGTTTCCTTCAACTTTGCAAACTGAGGACTTAAGTGTTTCCAGAATTAGACTGCCCACCCCAGGCATGGTGGTGCATGCCTGTGATCCCAGCACTCAGGGGGCTTAGGCAGGAGGATCCTTGCAAGTTTGAGGCTAGCCTGGGCTACATAATGAGTTCGAGACCAGCCCTAACTACATAGTGAGACCCTGTCTCAAAAAACAAAAGATTTAGACTGCCTAATATGAATATCCTTCTGCTTTCATGTACCAGCCTATGATCTGGCTGTTTTTAAAGTACTGTATATGGATCTACATGGGAAATGTAAATGGTCCTTTTGGTCAGCATTTGGGAAAAAAAGTGCAGTTTGTCAAAAGCTACTTGGATTTTCAGAGAGAGTTTGAAATATTCCTTAATGGATGATTATAGAGAGGTTTCAGTCTCACAGTGCAATGCTTTCTTGAAAAATTGTCATGCCATTTAAATAGTACAGGGACCTTCCATCAGCTGGAAGATTCAGACTATAATTTTGTTTAAAATGCCTTTAAGTAGTAACCGATTCATGATTAAATACCTTAAAAACCCTGACAACAAAGTGAAAAGAGTTACAATTTTTTTAGTGGTTACTATTCCCCAGGCCCAAGCCTAGGGCCTTATGTGTTTGTTTCATGTAATACTGATATTATCTGTCCCATTATTAAGTTCTCTCTGTCTCTTTTTTTTTTCTTTTCCAAGTGCAGTGGCACTGCCTATAATCCAAGCTCCTCAGGAGGCTGAAGGAGGATGGTAAATTTGAGGCCAGCTTGGGCTACATAAGAGACCCTGCTTCAAAAATAATAAATAAGGGCTAGAGATGTAGCTCAGAGCTCCTTGGGTTCAACCCCCAGTCCTGGGGGGACAAATTTTTTATGTATTTATTTTTTGAGACAAGGTCTCACTCTGTACCCCAGGCTGGCCTCCAATTCATGGTGATCTTCCTGCCTCAGCCTCCCAAGAGCTGGGATTATAGGCGTGTGCCACCACACTTGGCAAAAAAGACCCACCCCTCTAACTTTGGTTTAAAAAAATCACATAAGTTACCATCTTTGCTATTGTTACGAATATGGCTCAGCACAGTTAAGTGTGTTTACAGAGCTGTTCGACAGAGGTCCAGGTCTTTTTCATCTTCCCGCTCCCCATACTCCTCTCTCTCCACAGCCCCTAGCAACCGCCATTCATCCCATTGCTGTCTCTATGTGTTTGTATCCATTCCCAGTTTATAACCGAGGAAACTGGGGTGCAGAGAGCATAAAAAAGTGGGCAAGTCTGCCCTGTAGCTTGTAAGTACAGAGCAGAGATGAACCTGTTTCTATGTGCCTGGAGCTGCCACTCTTACAGGTTTATTGATTGAAAAATGTCCCAGGTTTGTGTGGTGCGAGTATGTGAATGACTCTATGTCCTGGTGTGTGTGTGGAAGGGGCCTAAAATGCAGATTCCTGGGTCCCTTCCTATAGGGCTGATGCAGAAAGTGGGGATAGGCCAGGAACCATTTGGTGCCACTGATGCGAAGCTGGAAGACCCTGCGTCTTCGCTGCCAGGGTTGGGATGGCCAGGTCAGCTCTGCCGCACAAGTCTATGAACCCCAAGTCCGTTCAGCCTTGGGGAACCGTGCCTTTCTCTTAACAGGCATAGCCGTACCACAACGAGCTTCCCCAGGCGACTCATCATTCGCCCACTCATCTGTCCATTGCAGGTCTTGGCTGAGCTGCTTGGGAGCTGGGGGTGGGGCCTCCATCCCTGCCCTAAGGAGAAAGGGTTTGAGGGAGCAGATGGGGAAGACAAGAAGTGGGTGCCTCAAAATGCAACAGGAACCTGAGAGAAAGCTGGGGGCTGGCGACAGTTCCACCTCTGCCAGGCTGCAGGTGCACACAGATGTGACCGTGTCACAGGAGCTCCGCTCCGGTCAAGGTCACGGCTGTTGTTCCTGACCGTTGTAGACTCCTGGCCGCCCACCTAGCGCAGCTTTCCCTACACAGGTCTGTGATTCAGACTCCAGAAGGGAGGGACGACATCAGATGTGGATGTGTCATCTTCGGGACAGTTGGGCTGTCAATTTTCTACCACCTCAGTCTTGTCATGGGGACAAGCCGGGCTCTGAAATAACATTAACGTGGTCACACCGGGAGTTCTGGGAGATCAATCCCTTCACTGTCCACCGGGGAGAGGGGTGCCGCTGATAGTGGGGGCCGTGTCTCTGGGAAATGTCCTATCCTCTGCATCTCTGGACTTAGCGCCGGAGCCTTATTTTCTCTAGGTACTGAGTCATCATCCCCTGGGAGCCACAAACTGCTCGAATGTTTTGGCAGTTCATCCTGGGCACGGGCTCTGCCACTGAGCTCCTTGCCCAGCCCCAAATTGATCGGATTCTTTCCCCGTTCACTTTGTTTTCAACTTCTAGGGACATCGGCGTGTTCTCCCCACCACACTCCGATCCCAGGGTGCTGTGGTACCCTGACAGTCCAACAGGGCCCAACGCCCAACATGTGCACGCACTCCCACACCCACACACGGGTGCACACATGTGCATGCACACCCTCTGCCCTATGTCCCTTTCCCTGTCCCTGGCAAACTGAAGATGGCACTCTGGGAAGTCCCTGGGCCTCCCTGGTGGGACCACTGTCACCCTCTTCCCTGTCCAGCCCTGCTGCAGCCCTCGTCTGTGGGTTCAAGGCCTCATCCTGGAGTCCCCAGTTTTTGGTGCTGGCTACACACCATGATGGGAGGCCCCTGAGGTCATGGCAGGTCTCATGGACCTGTGATT